GAGACCCAGGAGGTGAAAAAAAATGAGCCCCCCCCCGGGAAAAAAAATAATAAGCCACGCCCACCCAGTCACATGATCATGCCCGCCTAGCCGCACCCACCTAGCCACGCCCACAGAACCGGTTGTTAAAAAATTTGAATCCCACCCCTGAACACAACTCTGATGCGGCCCTTAATGAAATCAAGTTTGATATCCCTTGCTTTATTGTGTTCAGCTATTGATAGAAATTTTTCAAATGAGCTTTCCCCCCCCCCCCCCAAAAGGCAACTGGATTATGCTTCTTTTTGAGGAATAAATATTTTTTCCTTGAAGAAGAAGATGTAAGAAGAGGTTTCTTTCTTTAAGGGAAAAATATTTCTTCCTCAAGAAAGAAAAAACTCCACACAGTCCAGTTGCCTTTCGAAAACGGTGCTTTTGAAAAGCACGTTTGAGACAACCATGACCTGGATGACTGAGAATCTCCTTATATATTGACCAAAATCTTGCCAGACTAAAACAACTATTTGCATAACTACTACTGTAGATATTCTCTGTGAATTGCTAGGGAGGGTCTGCCTTCAAACTTCTTTCTGTATACCAAAGACTCCAAGTTTCTTGATCTCTTTGCTCTCTCCCTCCTGCAATTCCAAACTACACCCCACCACAATTCCTGTGTAATTTTCCAGTTGTTTCCCTTGAAGAAGAATGCAAGTTTTTTTTTTTTAAAAAAAGTTTCTTTTTAATTATCTACAACTCACTTACGGAAGATGAAAGCAGTGACTGCTTATGTTCATTAATGAATGAACAAAGGGAACAGAATAATCTCAGGAAGTTGACCCTTCCATTCTCCACTGGTCAATTAGAACCGAAGAAGCTTCTTGGATGAGAAGCGAAATGTTTTCAAAGGGAAAAAAAACAACAACAAGAAAGTCCAGTTGCGTTTCAGGAAAAAAAAAAAAGTACTTTTGAGACAACCATGATCTTGGTGATTGAGACTCTCCATAGACAAATGTTCCTGTGGTTTGAAGTCTTTTTTTCCTGCTCTTTAGGAGGCAACTATTATGTATCCCATGGAGTACAAAAATAACAAGCAAAGAAGTCATAGCCCAGGGTGTCAAACTTGAGGCCTGTAAGCCGGATTCAGCTGTGGGTTGCTTAGATTCTGGCCAGACTGGCTCGCAGTGCCAATAGAGCTTGGGAGGGCAGTGCATGGCCCACCCAATCTCTGTTTTCAGCCACAATGGCTTCCTGGAGCCCTCTGCCAGTGAAAACGGGGCCCAGGGTGGCCTCCGCTGGCAGAGGGCTCCAGGAGGCCATCAGGCCGAAAACAGAGACTCAATGAGTGACATCGAGTTGGCTACGCGCCCCCTGGCCACCCCACCCCCCCCAGCTCCTCAAGGACAAACACAACCCTGAGGCGGCCCTCAAAGAAATCGAGTTTGACACCCCTGTCCTAGCCCAAACCTCACCAAATATATCATTTGAAGCCAAGATCACCAAACAGAGGCTCTTGTAATTTCATCGAGCTGACTCACTCGAAAAGTCAGCCATGCTGAGAGTGACCAGTGGAAAAAGGGAAAGGAGCTACCCTAGTACCACTGGTTGGGACACTATAAAGTATGATACTGGGATGACCTGAAGGTGGATCTGAAGGAGGCGGCGCAAGACAGAGGGACATGGAGAGTGCTGAGCCATAGAGTGGTCGAGGGTTGGACACAGCTGAATGGCTGACAATCATAATGACAGGTCTGAAAAAAACCAAGACTTGCTTATTCAAGCCTGCACAAACAACACTTGGAAGCAATTCGTTGCTACAAAGTGAGTGTAGAGTTCTCTATCTATTGTGCAATATTCTCCCAGCCGCATGGAGGGGCTTGGCTTTGTGACAGAACCATGGAAGGGAAGTCTGGTAGGGAAGATAGTAATGGATGAATATAAAATGGTAAAGAATCTCCCAAAAGTGACTGCCAGAGAGACTGGACGCCCTGTAGAACTTCCTTGGTGCTATTAGCTTCCAGGAGACCAAACCCAGCATAAAACATGTGAGTTTTTCAACCACAGGTGCATGTTGCTCACCCGTTTGAACTAGCATTTCCTTCACCTTCCCAGTAGAGTCTCATGTTGGAGGAGAAGTTGAAGGAGGAAAAAAGAAATGATAGCACCATGCGCTTGTCAGCCTGAAGGCAGACCTGCAGCTCTTCTGTTTGGCAGGGTGGAAAATTTCCCACCAGCACCACACTCAAGACAACGGAATGAGAATTCAGGGGTTTGGAGCCTTTTTTCATGCATGAGGAGAGGGAGAGGAGAGACAGGGAGAGGGAGGGAGAGGAGAGGGAGAGAGAGGAGAGAGAGGGAGAGGAGAGGGAGGGAGA